TGGCACCACACACATGACTCGGCCTCCTTGGAACCTGTCTCTTATACACATCTAGATGTGTATAAGAGACAGGTAAAAGACGATATCTCAAGGCTGCCGCCCTTTCCATAAAACAGAAAAAGAAAGAAGGCCTAGTCGAAAGGCTATGCCCGAAAGCAGCAACCGAATGAAAGTAGAGGTGACAAAAGAAAAATAGAAAGTACAAAACTGAGTGTCCACAGAGAAGAGTAGAAAAGACTTCAACCCCATCCCCGCAACAAGCGGAGCAAAGTTTTTAGTAGTAGTACTGTAGTAGAATACTATAATCACATAGTGTGAATTCAAAATCAGTGAGTTGAGAACTGGTGACTTGTTCTTTGCCAAATCACAACTGCAGCAGTATGCACGGCAAAATTTACACAGGCAAAATTCAGAGGACAAAGGCAATGATGGAAAACACATGTCGTCAAGCGGAGGGGGGGGGGGAACAAAAAAAAAAAATCCAAGGAAGTTCATTATGAATTAAGTAATATTAACTGTTTTGAAAGTGCCTTTCACAAGCGTGATAATCCGTGCCTTGGACAAAGTGCCCTTTTACGACCAACTCGAACACATCCAGTGCCATCCACAAACCAGGGGTTAAGATCTTTCAAACCAGATCTTACCCCCCTGTAAGATAATAGGTGACTTGAATGAAGGAGGTGACTTGGACGAAGTGCCCTTTCGCAGGGCTCTTTAGTATTCCATACATACAGATCCTCCCACAACATACAGGGGAGGGGGTAAGATCCTACCTCCAGCTGTCAATCACCGTAAAAAGCAAAAAGTACGAAGTAAAATCACAAGTGATTAGTACTGATTTAACTCTGATTACATATTCGAGCCTAGATCTCAAGGAAAGCAAATTTATGCTCCTCACTTCCCACCGGAACCCTAAAGCCGGGTTGCAAAATCGTCACTGAAGCGCATTTTCAAACTTCAACCGTGACAGCAACCCTAGTTGCGCCCCCCCCCCCCGACACAAAAAAACTTATGCTCCTCGCAGTTTCACTCCGTTACAAGAGAGGGTATATGGGGGTATGGTTGTACCTGCAGTTGCCACTAACCTTAATCATAATAGGGAACCCTATCTCATTGGCCAACCGCACAGCATCTGCAGTATCCTGCACAAGCCCAAAAGCGCATAAAGCAAACCAGAAGTTCCCGCAGAAAAGAAAAGGGGAAAAAAAAAAAAGGTGTCATAAAAACCAGAAGCAACAACCACTTACGAAACAACATAAGCAGCTTCACTCCAATGCCATCATGGCGAAGGTGGTGGTGGTGGTGGTGTGTGTGTGTGTGTGTGTTTGGGGGGGGGGGGGGGGGGGGGGGGGGGGGGGGGGGGGGGAAGGAAGAGGGGAAAAAAAAAAAAAAAAAAAAACTCAGTCAGACTCCGGATGTGCACCTGTCAAGAGGAAATGAGGAGGCAGGAGCACTGACAGGGTCCACAGAGATAACCCCGTTGGCCCCCCCAGCCAACATTGGCAGGACCTTGGCTGATGTTGTTGACTGCTATGCAACGAATAATATTGGTCATTAGACACCGCCATGTGAGGTTGGGGGGGTAGGGGGAGGTGCAGTGACTGGCCATTGCTCGGCGCTACTAGACCTCCTGCCTGCTTCAATTCCGCAGTCGTGGCAAAATAACTCTAACACATAAGAACGCAATTACAGTTCGCACAAATATTTCGCTTTGCAATTCAGCCCTCCATGCCCCTCCCCACTTCCGTAAGACGCAGTCTAATTTAATTTACAGCGCAAACTCCGCCACTGACACATTGATGTGCCGGTAACTCCAACAGCACACACACAAATATTTTGCTTTGCAATTCAGCCCTCCGGGCCCCTCTTTTGCTTTGCAAGTCAGCCCTCCGGGCCCCTCTTTCGCTTTGCAATTCAGTCCTCCGGTAACTCCAACAGCACAATCGTTGATTGCCATTATTTCCCAAAACACAAGTTGATTGGCATTATTTCCCACAACACAATTGTTGATTGGCATTATTGAATTTATTTCCCAAAACACAATTGTTGATTAGCATTATTTCCCAAAACACAACAACATTGACTCCGCTGCTGACTTCCACTGCTGAAGCCCTCCATTGTTGATTGGCATTATCGAATTGACTTCCACTGCTGAAGCCCTCTCCCTCTCAGCTACCGGCAAGCCAGCCATTAACTACTTCCACAAACCCATCAAGGCTCTTCAGACCCATCCAACTTCAAACTCCGAAGTAAAAAGTTCAAATCAAACATCAAGCCCATCCTCTATCGTTTTATGATGGAGCGGCCGCAGTTGAAGTCAAAAAAAGGCCCGAGTGTCCGGAGTGAAAGAAACCAGAATGAGGAGAGCAAGATGGCATCAACAGAAAACAAAAAGAAAAAAGGGAGAGCTTCGCGAGAATCGTGACAGACAGGAAAGAGAGCAGTACGCGATGCAATGCAGCCACAGTTGAAGTTAAAAAAAAACTGAGTGTCCAGAGTGAAAGAAACCACAACGAGGAGAGCGAAATGACATCAACAGAAAAAAAAAAGAAAAAAAAAGGAAGAGCTTTGTGAGAATCGTGACAGACAGGAAAGCAGTACGCAACGCAATGCAACCACAGTTGAAGTTATAACATCAACAGAACAAAAAAATAAAGGAAGAGCTTTGTGAGAATCGTGACAGACAGGAAAGAGAGCAGTACGCAACGCAATGCAACCGCAGTTGAAGTTAAAAAAAAGGCCCGAGTGTCCAGAGTGAAAGAAACCACAACAAGGAGAGCGAAATGACATCAACGCTTTGTGATCGTGACAGACAGGAAAGAGAGCAGTACGCAACACAATGCAACTGCAGTTGAAGTTATAAAAAAGCGTCAAGAGTGAACGAAAACAGAACAAGGAGAGCAACATGACATCAACAGAAAAAAACAAAAAAATAAACAAAAGGAAGAGCTTCGTGAGAATCATGACGGGAAAGAGCAGTACGCGACCCGACGCAACGCAACCCACCTTGACAAGCCCGTCGCTGCCCGGAACAGTGGGCACGCCTGCTCTCTTCATGGTGTCTCTTGCTGTCGCTTTGTCGCCCATGATGCGGATGCTCTCAGGCTGAAAATAAAGCGCAGAGGAGGGCCAGCCAAAGGGCAAGAAAGTGAGACAGATTCAAATGACCATTGAAAGCTAGATAACAAAGGCATCCAAACGCTTTGAAGAACAAACAGGCGGGAACTTATAGAAGTAAAGTACCACATTTCCACAATCGCCGTTTCACTGTGCATGGTTACGCACTCTGTTAAGATGAGCATGTCATCGTGGACGACCAGAGAATGTCGTTTGCCCAGCAGCGCTGCTCTTCATCTCCGTGTGACACAGCTGCTACTGATCTCTGTTTCACTATGCATCGTTCAGCACGCTCCATTAAGATGAGCATTGCCATCATGTAAGACCAGAGAATGTCGTTTTCCCAGCAGGCCGCTCGTCATCTCCGCGTGACACAACTGCTACTAATCTCTGTGTGTGACCTCGCTGTCTTATATCCCATCATAGTAAACAACAGCAAGAACAGCATCATTGTTTTCTTTGTTTTTTTCTTTCTCCGAGAAATAAGACCTTCCGGTATCACGCCCACCATATTACAAACAACAAAAATATTAAAATCATACGTAGTAACGTAACCCACCCTCATGCTCCGGTGTCTTACAGCCAACTCCCCTCCGTCTCAGCCACGGAAACAACAGGCTGCACTGATAGGTCAGCACCACCTTCTTTGAACAACACAAAAAGCATCAACAATCACTTTAACAAATTAACATACTAACCCCAATAAAAAAAGTAAACTTCAACCACCACTACCTCAGATCGTCTCTTTTGCCTACTAGGCAGAAAAGACTGTGCGCCAAGCTCTGGCCAAGAGCCAGCGCGCGCGTGTGTGTGTGTGTGTGTGTGTGTGTGTGTGTGTGTGTGTGCGTGTGCGTGTGTGTGTGTGTGTGTGTGTGTGTTTCTGTTCTTTTCACTGGCGCCACTAGCCATTGCGATCCACCGGTAGTTTGTAAACCTCCAAGCCTCTTTTTGCCAAAGTACAAAAAAAAAAAGACTACATTGCTAAGTCACCAGTGTGGCGGTCTTTTGTTTTTTTCTTCTCCCTCCATTTGGCTGGCACCACCAGCCACTGTGGTGCAGTAGTACTGTTCACCCGACGAAGCCCCGCGATGTTACAATTTCAATTTTCTACGTTGCCTGGGAAAGGTAGTGGTGGTCCCACCACAGATTCCTTTTTGTCTGACTTCTCTCACAGAGTTGTTAATGTCTCAGTGTCCCACGTTCGTGGGAGCAGCACGCACATTCGTGGGATAAGAGAGAGGACAACACTGACTCTGCAGGTGCAGAGAAAAAATGAGATTTTGTGAGACTTGGAAAACCTATATCTACGTAGAGAAAAAGGGGTGTTGTAAAACCCATCTCCATGTACGGTACACAACTGCATTGTAAGTGTTGATAAACAGATCACCAGTTCGAATCCTGACACATACACAAAAAAACGGTAGCTAGCCCCAAAATACAAAAACAAAAAGACAAAAAAAAAAAACGAAAACTGAGAGTTATCGCACGGCCAGCACATCCAAGAGGGTAGCAACGTCAACAAGTCGCATCAACTACAGCAGTTGCAATTGCAAAGAAGTACAACATCTGCATGTTTTGCTTCGCATGAGGTCAGTGGAGGCAGGCAGGCAGGCAGGCAGGCAGAGAAAGCCTAACCTGAATCAAAAGAAATAATAGGCAGCCAGGAAGGCAGGCAGGAAGGCAGGCACACACGCAGGCACACACGCAGGCACACAAGCAGGCACACAGGCTCGCAGGCATGCCAGGCAGGCAAGTATGCAGGCAGGCAAGCAAGCACGCAGCAGCATGCATGCAGGCAAGCAGGCAGGCAGGCAGGCAGGCAGAGAATGCCTCATCTGAATCAAAAGAATGGCTCCCAGGCAGGCACACAGGTGCGCAGACGCGCAGGCAGGCAGGCACGCAGGCTCACAATCAAGCCAGGCAGGCACACAGGTGCGCAGACGCGCAGGCAGGCAGGCAGGCAGGCACACAGACTCCAGCATGCCAGGCAGGCGCATACGCAGGCAGGCAGGAAAGCACACAGGCATGCAAGCAGGCTCGCAGGCAGGCAGAGAATGCCTAATCTGAATCAAAAGAATGCAGCAATGGAGGAGGGAGCCAGGCAGGCAGGCAGACAGGTACGTAGAGTGTGCCTTATATGAGCAGAGCATGCAGCAGAGTTTCAAAGGGGGAGTAGAGTAGGATCTGAAAGCCTGTCCTTCAGGACACCCGTTAAAATTGGAACGATACATGAGCATGGCCCCTGCACGAGGATGACACACATTAATCGAGAAATGGTCCAAATCTATGAAAAAAAGGATCTGAAAAAGGGAGGCAAGTAGGCAGGCAAGGTATGCCTGAACGGAAAGCATGCAGCAGTATCAAAGGTACAGTAGGGTAGAACCTTTAAGAATGCATGCAGGCAGGCAGGCAGGCAGGGTATGCATAATATGAACAGGGGGCATGTAGCAGAAGATCAAGGGTCAAAGAGAGAAGAGCAGAACCTGCCTGCGGATTTTGGAACTCACCCTAGGACCGATGAAGTTGAGGCCATGGTCTCTGCAGATGTCCACAAAGGTCGCATTCTCAGCCAAAAAGCCATAGCCAGGATGAACCATTGTGCAGCCGTGGCTGATGGCAGCTGCAACAATGTTTGGAATATTCAGATACCTGTTCACAGGAATCGACAAATGGGATGCAAAGTTATTACGTTACATAAATGGCACAAAGGCAAACCCAACGATGCGAGCTGTCAGAGACTACCGGTAGGACCACACACCCCTCATTTCTCTCTCTCTCTCTCTCTCTCTCTCTCTCTCTCTCTCTCTCTCTCTCTCTCTCTCTCTCTCTCTCTCTCTCTCTCTCTCTCTCTCTCTCGTGAACCTGTGTGTGCATGCACTACCAGACACTACCGTATGAAGAGAAAAGGGAGAAGGAGAAGAAAAAACAATTCAACGAAAGTCGGCGAGGGCATGCGAATAAGGGTATTATACTCACGATTGGCTACTTGGGGCTTCACCAATACAGACTGCTTCATCAGCAAGCTGGACATGCAGGCTCTTGCTATCAATCGTTGAGTGGACTGCAACACAGGGTATACCCATCTCATGAGCCGTTCTGATAATTCGCACTGCTATTTCTCCCCGATTAGCAATGAGGATCTTCTCTTGCGGCATCTCCTCTGACTTCTCCAGACAACGGCACTTGAGCGTCCTTCCCACTTGCGAATCCCCCCGCCGCTGGCCAGCAAGTGCCCCCCTCTGTCTTACCACTTCCCCCAGCCTGCAGCCTTCCCCCGCAAGAAAGGCGGAGCTGCTGCCTCCGCCAAGCTTTCTACTGCTGCCCATACTCTTGCAGTCATTGGCACCACACACATGACTCGGCCTCCTTGGAACTATGCACCACAGCACCACACAAAGCACACAGCCACAAATAAAAAACGCATTAAAGAATAGACCAACCCGTCCTCTTCATCGAGGTGCGGGGGGGGGAGGCGGTGTGGGGGAGGCAGGGGAGGGGAGAGAGGAGAAAATCAGAGACAGTTCCAAAGGGTTTTACTACCACTTATAGGGGTTAAACATCCCTCTCAATCTGTAGCAGGGCAACAATAGTCGAATATTCCATGATCATTCCTTCAGAAAGCTCTGAAGATTCCCAGGTCTTCTTCTACGCAATGTGGTACTTTCGTCTCACACACAACTTCGGAAGTTAAGCCTGACAAACGTTCAGGACGGTCACCCCCTTTGAAATAGAAAACTTGAAAAAAAAAACAAAAGAAATAAAAAAAAAGATGGAACAGTTCTTTCGTGTCAATGATTTCGCTCAACACTCTTTGCCATCATTCCTGTTGACGCTCCTATTATTCCCCAGATAACGATCTAAGCCATCATGCTTAATAAAGTGATGATTCGGAATTAAAAAACGTAAGCCATCATCACCTGGCCCTTTTTCGTGTGTTTTTTTTTCCTTTCAATGGGTAAACAAACAACCCAGGCAACCATCTAAGGTAAGGCTGGCAAGCCTTCATCACCTGTTCTACACACACACACACATAGAGAGAGAGAGAGAGAGAGAGAGAGAGAGAGAGAGAGAGAGAGAGAGAGGAGAAAAAGCAGAGGGAGAGGGAGAGCGAAGGAGAAAGAACAGGGGAGAAGGAGAAAGACGAGAGAGTCAGGGAGAAAGAGAGAGAGAGAGAGAAGTAGGGAGAGGCAGAGAGAGAAAGAGAGGTACGGAGAGAGAGTTCATTCTTCCTCCTCGAAAGGGGCACAAAAAGAGAGGGAAAGTGCAGGAAGGAGGCGGAGAGAGAGAGAGAGAGAGAGAGAGAGAGAGAGAGAGAGAGAGAGAGAGAGAGAGAGAGAGAGAGAGAGAGAGAGAGAGAGAGAGAGAGAATATCGATGTGCATAATGAACAAAACTGACCAGAGCAGGCAGATACATTCCCTTTGGCTGGTTGATGGCGCTGCTTGCAGCTGCTGTTCCTGCCAGTGGCCACAAGTGACGTTGAGCTCCCACCGGCGGCCAATTGCCCGGCATTCTGCAAATAGACAAAAGTGGAGACGAATCCATGAACACAGTTCACAAGTGATCATTACGTACATCAGAAACTTTTTTTTTTGGGGGGGGGAGAAAGCAAGAAAAAGAGCTTAGAAGGAATGAGAGACTTAGGGCGTACTCAGACTACCACAATCTTTAAAAATGTACCTGACCGCATTTAGGGCCGGACTCGTATGCATCTGGTCGCAACTCCGTCCAGAACTAAGTAACAGTACCAGTTTGAGTATGCCCTCAATGGCGATGCAAAGTCCCTCTCTTACCAGACAGGCATCCATTCAGCCACGAAACCAATCATCACCACACACAGACACAAACGGACAGATAGACCAATGTTTCTGGACGGAATTGCGGCCAGATGCATATGCTAATGGGTTTGCAAAAGAGAGGGGAGGGGAGGGGTAAGGGAAAGACACAGAGAGAGAGAGAGAGAAGTGTGACGGGGGAGAAAGAGAGAACAAAAAACAAAAAAGTACTGGCTCTTGAGAGAAAAGAAGGGAGGGAGAGAGAGAGAGAGAGAGAGAGAGAGAGAGAGAGAGACAGAGAGAGAGAGAGAGAGACAGAGGATAAAAAAATGGTACTGGCTCTTGAGCATGGTGACCTTGGGAGTTGCACGTTCCCCCATAAGCAACAAATAAGGGTAAATACAGAAATTGTCAAATTGTATGATACAGAAAACAGAATGCCGAAGATAAGGGTAAATACAGAAATTGACAACTTGTATGATACAGAAAGCCGAAGCCTTCCAAAAAAAATGCGTATAGTACGCAGAGCACTGGGTTCGTTGCACGTTCCCCCATACGCAACAAATAAGGGTAAATACAGAAATTGTCAAATTGTATGATACAGAAAACAGAACGCCGAAGCCTTGAACAAAAAAAAAAATCCGTATAGTACGCAGATCAAGGGGAAATTTGACAGACCTTTTTCTTTTCTTTTTTTTCTTTTTTTTTTCTTTTTTTCTCTCTTTTTTCCATAATAATGACAGACCTTTTTCTTTTCTTTTTTTTCTTTTTTTTTTCTTTTTTTCTCTCTTTTTTCCATAATAATCGTAATTACCAAAAACAGAGCCTCATGGCTCTGGCTTCTTTTTTTTCTTTTCTTTTTTTTTTTTTTTTCTCTCTTTTTTCCGTAATAATCGTAATTACCAAAAACAGAGCCTTATGGCTCTGGCTCCTTGTCCATTCTGGGAAGCGTCAGTCTGGTTCCTGTGCCTGTTCCACCCGCACGTGGTTGTTAACAGGGACCCCCACTTTTCAGGCCCAGGTTATAACCCCATGGGGGCATGATCACAAGTGGTGGTTGACAGGGACGCCCACATAGACTGGCTCCTTGTCCAAAAACAGTCAGGAATACAGATGACAACACACTCGAATCGCTTTTCCCCATAATCACAAGTGTTTGTTAACAGGGACCCCCAATTCTCAGCCTCAGGTTATAACCCCTCCAGCACTGAAAAGCGCCTCCGCAGATTTGCTACAGGGACCCCCAATTTTCACGCTCAGGTTATAACCCCTTCAGCACTGAAAAGCGCCTCCGCGGATTTGCTCTGCTAACCGCTTCTCTCCATAATGGCTGGGAGAACAGAGGGACAGCATTCATTACTTCCAGTCTGTGTTACTCGTACTATAGACCTCAAACATACATTCCAGGTCTTCATTTTTATTTTTTCAAATACCTTCCATTATCCTTCTATCTATCTATCTATCTATCCTTCTATCTACCTATCTATCTATCTATCTATCCTTCTATCTACCTATCTATCTATCTATCTATCTATCTATCTATCTATCCTTCTATCTACCTATCTATCTATCTATCTATCTATCTATCTATCTACTATGTGTCTAACAAGATGTCTTATTTTTTCTTAATACCTTCCGTTATCCTTATATCTATCTATCTATCTATCTATCTATCTATCTATCTATACCTATTCATCTATCTACTATCTGTATAACTAGATATCTTATTTTTTCTGAATACCTTCCGTTATCCTTCTATCTATCTATCTATCTATCTATCTATCTATCTATCTATCTATCTATCAATTTATCTATCGATCTACATATCTATATATCTATATATCTATCTCTCTGTATATCTACCTAAAACAGTCCACATACATCCAGGCCGGAAAACACCCGACCTTCCGTTATCCTTCTATCTATCTATCTATCTATCTATCTATCTATCTATCTATCAATTTACCTATCGATCTACATATCTATGCATCTATATATCTCTCTCTATATATATCTACCTAAAACAGTCCACATACATCCAGGCCGGAAAACACTCGACCCCTTGGATGCATGTGGACAGTCCACATACATCCAGGCCGGAAAACACCCGACCCCTTGGATGCATGTGGACAGTCCACATACATCCAGGCCGGAAAACACCCGACCCCTTGGATGCATGTGGACTTCAGCTAAGTCCAGATACATCGAGGGGGTAGAGCGTTTTGAGAACGCTGCTGCCTCCATTTCATGAAATGTCGGCCGACAAATGAGATTTCAATTTCGTTCAAAAGATAAAATATGTCCATTTCGATGAAATCTCTGTTCTAACTATTTATCGATCTACCTATCTATTTATATACCTACCTATCTACCTACCTACCTACCTATCTATCTATCTATCTACTTATGTATCTGCATGTCTATCGCCGTCTTCGTTTTCTCCTCTCAAACCATCCTTCCCCTATTTCTATTTTTTTTTTCTTCTTATTTCTATTATTTTCATTTTTGGCCTAGGCTACCAGAGTGGCCTGGGACCACTTGCTCGCCTCTATTTTTTTATTTTTTTTTTTGTGTATTATTTTCATTTTTGTCCTAGGCTACCAGAGTGGCCCGGGACCACTTGCTCGGCCGGGCCAAGAAAAACTACAAAAAAATAGAAAAAGTACTTTTTATTTCATTTTTTATTTTAAATTTGTTAACGATTTTGGATGTGACCCTAAGGCAAAAGTTGTTCAGTTCATTTTTCTGCATCATGTAATCTCTTTTCGGATTTCGTGGTTTTTTTTTTCTTTTTTTTTCTTTTTTGCTGGGACCTTGCCTGGTCCTCGCACGTCCGGGCCGCCAGGTAAAACGAGGTCACCCGGGCGGCCCGGCTGGTAGCTCAGTTTTTTTCCATTTTTTCCATTTTTTCCATTTTTTCCATTTTTTACGATTTTTTTCATTCTTTCGATTTTTCTTTCTCCTCTTAACACTGTTCTTTCCCCATTGCACTTCACACAGGTTGCACGTGCGGACAGGAGAGACTGTCCCGATAGAAAATGCAGCTACACTACCAACGACCCTAACTCAGTTGGTACACCCACTAACTGTTGAAATATGAATCAGACCCAATTTCAAGTCCAGATGCAATCAGATGACAAGAACAACATCATGGTGAATTGCCTGAGGCTGTCCAGTTTCAATGATGATATCCCAAGACCGTCGACCCTCAAAAATAACAAAACAAAACAAAAAAAAAAGGCTACACTGCCCCCGGCCGTTCTGCCCCCCGGTGAAGAGACACTACCGTCTTCACCCTGTCTCTTATACACATCTAGATGTGTATAAGAGACAGATATGAATCAGACCCAATTTCAAGTCCAGATGCAATCAGATGACAAGAACAACATCATGGTGAATTGCCTGAGGCTGTCCAGTTTCAATGATGATATCCCAAGACCGTCGACCCTCAAAAATAACAAAACAAAACAAAAAAAAAAGGCTACACTGCCCCCGGCCGTTCTGCCCCCCGGTGAAGAGACACTACCGTCTTCACCCCCGAATACAACTCCCGGGGCTAGGTCCCACTTGCACGAATGAAGAGATACTGACCATAGCAAAGATCAACGGCCGAAATCTCCCTCCTAATTTGCGCAGGTGGGACTTCGCCCCCGGTTTTTATCGCCCTATCTGGACTGAAAATTGAGCCAAAGACTGGTATAAAGACCGGGCGTTCTATTCGGGTGAAGACGGTAGGCGTTCTATTCGGGTGAAGGACGGTAGTCGCGAGTCCTATTCGAGTTTTCCTTAACCGTTCAGCTCAGAGTCACTGAGGGGTAACCCCAACAAAACCAAAGAAAAAGAAAGAAAAATTATTTTATTGGAATTAAATCATAAAGATTCAAAATAATAGAATCTCAATCTAACACAATATTTATCTATGTGAGAATTTTATGTATATTCAAACAACAAATAATTGCGATTGAAATTTGAAATTTGAAATTAAATTTAATTGCATTAATCATAATGTATATTCCTATTATAATAATAATAAATAAATACATCATAAAAACTCACCAGAAGAGTTGAAGACGTCGCCGCGGCCGCCATCCTTCAAACCCTCCCTCTTCAATTACCCACTTGAGTCTGATCGTCGACGACAGAGCTGGAGGGGGAAAAAACAAAACAAAAAAAAGAACACGCACCCCACACAGAGGTAATACTATTAATATGTGAGGACATGGGAAATCGATATCAAATGGGGGTGCAACTAAAACACACAATTTACACATCATACTGAAAAGGCTGCCCTTGTTAAACTATAAATTAAACACACACAGACTCTCTCTCTCTCTCTCTCTCTGTGTGTGCGTGTGTGTGTGTGTGTGTGTGTGTCTATTTATGTATGTACGTTGTATTCGCAGTAGATATGCCCCTATGCAATATCAGATACTCTCTCTCTCTCTCTCTCTCTCTCTCTCTCTCTCTCTCTCTCTCTCTCTCTCTCTCTCTCTCTCGCTCGCTCGCTCGCAGACAGCACACACAGATACACGCACAGACACATTGACGTTTGACAAATGTATGACAGGGAGGAAATAGGAAGGGAGGGGGTTGGGGGGAGGGAGGAGGTGGAGGGGAAGAATTAAAGAACAAAAAAGAAGCAGCAGCAGCAAAAAGACAAGATGGATGAACGGGGGTAGTGGATGTGACCAGGTGCGGGTTGCGACGAAATTTTGAGGGGGCAAGTAATCAAATCATGCGAAGCAGACAGGGAACATAGACGACTGGCGAATTTCCCGCCAGGAGGTGGGAGCTATGGCGCATTTTGGCGGGAAATCAGCATCGCGGATGAATTCAAGACCAACCGGATCTGTTTTCACTAGTAAGTTCGAGTGAGGGTGTCATCAACCTACGTGGCACTTTTCTAGACGCATCTGGCCGCAATTACGACCCGCGACGGATGTATCTGACCGCACTTACGGCCAGAGAGCTCAGCCGGAAAAGTGCTACTGTGAGATGTATCTGACCGCAATTACGACCCGCGACGGATGTATCTCATCCGATCATGGAGGTCAGTCCGGAAGGCGTGCCTGCATAATCGTCGCTCGTTTCACTCCACATTATCAGACTGTAATGATCCCTCTTTTCTCAGTTTCCCTTCTCAAGCAATCAATCAAATCAAGCAAATCAAAACTCTTTCAAATCAGTCAACCAATCATGAATCAATAAGTCGTCAATCAATCAATCAATCCTTCTCCCCCCTTCTCCGGCTGGTCGAGAAAAATCGGACCACCTGACGAATGAAGTCCCATAACCCTCGCCGGGCCACTCACCAAATGTGAAAAAGACAAGGCTATATGGCGAATGCATCTTTCCGCGTTTTCGCGGATGATTCATTCCCCATTTTTCACATCTGCTCAGTGATCCGGCGAGACCCTATCTCTCCCTCTTTTCCCCGTCATTGCTCTCCCTTCTCAAGGTAACTACTACCAGTACCCCCGGACCTCTTTTCATTTTTTTTATTATTATTATTTTTTTACCCCGAACCTTTTTTGCTACCAGTACCCCCGGACCTTTTTTCACTTTTTTGAAGTTTTTCCCTTTCTTTTTTTTTTTTTCTCTTCTTTTATACTTCTTTTTTTTTTACGTCTTGTCCCAGGGGGGATCTATAACATTTCCCCCCCCCAAGTGTCGGAGGCGCCCCCCAATGGCGAGAGGCTTGACGAGGAGGGGGGGGGGGGGGGGGTATCCGTAACTCCTGCCCCCCCCCCTTTCCAGGGGCCTGTCGGACCTTTGGCTAAGGTCCAGGGGCAAACGACTACAAACGAACCCAAGAGCCTACCCCTACCTTCTTCCCCCGAATACAACGTCCGGTCATTATAGCTGTATTTGAGGCACCTTTCAGTCTAGATACAGCTACATGGCCGAACGATGTAGCCGGGGGGGAAGAAGGTTAGGTCAATGTGTACACCCATGAAGTGTTGATATGCAGACCCGAGTTCGAATCCAGATGATGGAACCACGTGAGATGAGTAGAACTGTAAAACCAAGTATTTCTGAAATGCCTGAGGCCGGTCAGCTTAATGATGGCAGCTCCCGCATGTTCCCTCCCTCGTTGGAGACTTGAGCACGGATGTGGCTGCGACGGGGTTCCCGTAATACTACAATAATGACAATAAAAAAGGCCTGAAAGGCCGTCCTGTCCAGATTTGACAGGTAATTGAATTGGTTGGGCTAAAAGAATTAGCCTTAAAAAAAA